TTTTTGAGTGCTCCTCACACTATTGTATTAATATATTTTGCTTTGGCTTTATTGATACAATATCAGAAAGCACTCTGTTTTGCGGATATAATCGTGTGGGCTGAAGAAAAGATTATATCTTTTTTTTTCCGTTTTTTTTATTAACAATTCATTTTTTTTTTTTAAATAAAATGTTGTTTGTTATTTTTTTACTTATTATTTCCCACCCCCTTTTTTTCATATGTCTATTATTTTTCTTTGTTTTATTCTATTAATAATTTGGAGATATATTCTGGTTTTAAAAATGAGATAGAAAGTACCTTCTGCAGGTGAAGGTAACTTCATTTCTTTATCAGTAGAGCCAGTCCAACATTTAAATGAGACTTTCATTTATATTTCAGTGTATAGTACTTTCTCCAAACAATAACAATTTAGTAATCGAATCACGCAAATCCCATTGGCAAGATCTTCAACTGGATGGTGGATAAGTTGGTATCTAGAAGAAAACATACGTTTTTTAATACTGATTTCCGGCAGCATGTAATAATATAGGCAGAAAATTAAAAAAAAATAGAGTAATACCTGGTTTGTGTTAAAATACCTGGTGCTAAAACCCCAAGTTTAAGTGTATTATAGTGCAATGAAAGCGGAAATATTCAATATCTAATGGAACCCTTTACAAAAAAAAACCTACCAGTGTTTTTAATATACTTTAACAGTATTAGAACTTTCATTCTAAAATTAATTATAGTAAAATAACCGGCAGCAGTATGTCCTACCAATTAACCACAAAGTTTAAAGGTTAAGAACATTCTTTACCTTTACAGTTTTGAAACCGCTTGCAACTGGTATGGTTATAATACCAAGAGTACAAAACTATATGGTTTTTAAACCATTTACAACTAGCTTAGCTTCAAAAGCGTAAAATAAAATTTTAGTGGACAATGGAACTAGGTTTTTCGTTAGGTAATAGGCATTGTAGAATCCAGGACACAACTGGAATACAAGACACTGGAAACTCGTGTGTTGAAAGGACTGAGGGAATATTGTTGTCTGGCACTCGAGCCGACGATCTGTCGGTCATGAGGTTGACAGATTCACCCTCTCGGCTTTAATATACATCTATCTGCAAGGAGCTAAGTGACTTCAGTGGGTGGGCTTAGTTGGTGCGATAAAATTCTATTTGTTTAACTGTATTAAGTGAAAGCAGTTAATAAACGATTTTCCTCATAGTTGACAGTTTGAATACCATCTTATTTATAGTTATGAGACTGTTTTGCTTGAATATTGAAAAATAACAATTAAAAACATTTATTTATTTAACCATATTTACTGTGAAATTTCTAACAATGTGAAATTTAAGTTGTATAGCTTGGTTTCTAATTGCATTTTCAGATTATATTTCTCTCCGTACTTACCACCATTGTGGTGTGCAATCCAATCGAAAGGTTAGGTGAAGAAGATGACATTCCTGTATACACTGAAAAAGTATCCCCCGGTAAACCAACAAAACCAGCAAGAGTGCCACGTTTTGAATCTAAAAAACTCTCATCAAGTTTAAAACCAGCTTCTTATCACCAATCAATTGTTCCAAAACCAGAAAACCACAGACCAGAACCCGTTTCAGTAAGGCCTGTTCAAAGGGTACCCAATCATTTACCGAATTCTGTAGTTGAGAATGAATATCCTAGATTGAAACCGAAGAGAGACTACAGAGCACCTAAACAAGCTTATTCTGCTCCGCCATTAGGAGTCCAATATGACGATGAAGTACCAAATGAACATGGTTTAGTTCATGACTATGCACCACGCAGACACCAGAGTCCATCAGAATACGGTACAGCAGCTGGAAACGCACCTAAATTAAGATATCTACCGGCACCTCAAAGATTGGAAGTAGCTCCAGCAACTCATAATTCTGAGTATGATTCGGCTCCTTACGTAAGTTAATATCTCTAAGTTATCAGACAAAATTTTACGTTTAAAAATTTACCTTTTTTGCAAGTAAAATCAATGTTATTTTAGTTTAACGTAGGTTTTTAAATATATTTGTGTGATAAGTCGGCTAGAAAATTTCTTGAGAACTATACATTAGTTTTTTAGAACTATATATTTTTTATATATTATTTATTTTACTTTGAAATATTGTAAGTAATGTGATTTAGCTGCAATGTAATTTTTTTAGCAATTTGTGTTAAACGTTTGAAAATTTTAATCCTACAAAAGCGAAATAGCAGTTTTTTGTATTAATCACCTTCCAATCTCAGACATATGCCCTAATTCACATTAATTCTGTTTTTAAAAAAAAAAAAACACTGGAGTTCAAACTTCAGATTATTTTCAGATTTGGTCAAGACTGGTTTCAGATCTGGTTCAGGTCTGGTTCATATCTTCTGAAATACGACGATATTTAGTTTGAACAAAAAATAATCATTCAACAGTTTTAATTCATGCATATGACCATGCCTAGCATTCGCTGGAGTCAGAAGGTATGAAACAATGGTTAAAGAATCTAACAACGAATCGGTTATAGTGAGTATGGCTTTCTCTTATGCACATACAGACTCACACAGTTATTTTAAATAGAGAAGTTACATACTGAAAATAAAGTTATTTAGGAGATCCGTGTCCCAATTATTCAGTCACTTCATTCTTATACCTTGGATGGATGTCAAATTGAAGGTGCGAGTTCCAATTGCCCTCACAGAGGCGTCTCAGACATAATATATGGAGTAGAGACCTGCCTATTCGTTTTTCAAAGACCTAGAAGGGTGAGAGGCCTTTCAACATGAAACCTGAGTAGACCACCAAATCTCCTCATGTAGATTATTTGAATATTGGAGAAAAGATAACAAATTTCTCCATCTCTATAGGAAAATATGAGCCAAACCAAGACCTACTATTTGCACACTCAAACAATGACCATCGTGCTTTGATGGTCTAAGACAACAACCTACGGAATGGCAGCACGCCTCTCCATTTGAAAAGAGACACTTTAATTTGAGGAAAATATAGGGATTAGATCTCGGAAATTTATGTTTATATATTAAGAAAGTACAGTTGACCCTTATTTTATTTACGTCGGCGGTAAAACGCAGCTACATAAAGCTCGCATGATCGACGTTTTTTTGGAAAGTAAAGACAATCGTCGGATGAATTTGCCAGACAAAACTTCAGACCTCAATTCTATTGAACATCTGTGGGGCATTTCGGGGAAGGTGATAGAAAATCGTAATCTTCCTACAACATCAATCTAGAAAGCAGAGTTGCTGAATGATTAAAAGCAATCGCTTTCTAAACTGCTTTATTTCAAACATAAAAACACTTTGTAAGTCTGCATATCTGTGAAAATAGAATGATTATATTTTTTTAATTTACTAACTCTTAATTCCTAATTTCAATAAAATCTGTGTGATAATTATGGAAATACTTGACTAAATCCATAAAATCCTTTAATTTCAAACAACAGTGAGTTATTTATAATGTAGAGAAAAAAAGGTACAATTGCAATTTTAAAGGCAGTATGATAAGTAAAATTGAAAAATAATCATACTAAACAAAAGGAAATTTAAAAAATAACAATAAGATATAAATTTAAAGTAAAATAAAAAATATTTTAATGAAATTTTAAAAAATTTCAACTTGATGAAATAAAAAGCAAGAAAAAATTTGATGAAAAGACAAAAACGAGATATCAAATTATGTAAACTTGTGTATTAAAATTTGTTTTCACGAGAGAATTATTTTTTTTAAATTCTTATTGGCTTAGATTTATAGCTATTGTTTATTTTATCTCTTTCTTATTTTATGAGCAAAAAAATTAAGGACAGATTGCTACTTATTTCTATACGTGCTTAAAAAAACCGTTAATTTCATTAAAAAAATTCGAAGCTTACTTCTAATTTATTTTTATTTATTTCCAAAGACACAGAAAATATTTTTCATATTTAGATTGCATATTTTGAAAGAAATGACTTCTATTACCATTAATAATTTTTAATATTAATAATTCTGCATTAAGAATTTTTTTTTTACTTAATTTTTTGCTAACTCTAATTTAATGCCAGATAGACACAAATATAAATGCTAGATTTACCAAAATTATCCTTTTAGTATGTTTTTAGAAAATATACTGTTGTTGTTTCTAATGCTACTTGCAACACTAGCAAACCTGCTTGGTGAAACCGAGCAAATTTAAGGCAGAGGGTGCTTTTCTTGTTTTTCAGTGGCGCCATCTGTGGCCAAGAATACGACTTCAGCCTCACACACGTCACATCCGTTTATAGGGCGGACCCATTAATACATCCATTCAATCATCCACAGATCCTGGATCAGTACCCCCAGAGGTATTGATTTGTTATGGGAACATGGAGGACTTTGAGACTCGACAGATTCAACGTGCATCAGTCACCACGGGGAGTCTTCAGTCGGCGGGGTTCGAACCTACGAACTCTCGGACATGGGACCAGCGCCCTACCGACCAGGCTATCCCGGCCCCGAAAATATACTTGAAAATATACATAAAACTAAGTTATAACTCTATATTTGGATACATTTGAGAGATTGACTTGAGCAATTTCGAATTGTCCCTTGAAATTTGAATTTCTATTCCAAGTCCCATTAAAAAGAGGTGTCTTAATTTAAAGATCTCTTAACTTCAATAAGAGATTTCATTAATTTAAAAAAATAATGAACAGAGTTTTTTGTTGAAATCCATAAAGAATTTTTCAAAATGCAGTTATTTGCTACGCTCCATACTCGCACATAAAATATGCTTGAAATAAATTTTCACCAATTGATAATTAATCTTAACCTAACTGTTGAACCTGAAATTTGAACACGCCATAACTTAAAATTTTATTCTAAAACATTCATTAAGTAATAATTAATCAATAGTTGGAAAAACAGTTGGGAAAATGCTGATTTTATTTCATAACCGCCGTTAAACAGCCACCCAAAATTTTCTGCTTACGACTACCAATGTTCAACTTCATATCCTTGTAATTTTGAACCTCATGCAGAACCCAAGGGAATTCCTGGATCAAGTAGTGGGAGAAATTTGCCTTCATGGAGGACATTTTGATGAAACTAACCTGCATTTGCGTTACACAGGGAGGAAAATCAAGAAAACCTGGGACGGTTAACCAGACAATAAGGGGATTCTAACCCATTTTCGTCTACCACTAACTATATTTTACGTCAGCACTGTGGTGGGTACGAGCCGGGTTCGGTATTCGAATCGACAAGCCATTGCCGGGATTCAAACCCGGTTCACCTCATTGGGAGGAGAGCGCTCTATCCCCTGAGCCTCCACAGCTCGAATAATACTGATTTNGTCGCACGGAGAATATCAAGTCGATAGTCAATTTCACGCCAGGTAGCGGCAAGCATGTCGGCATCCACAGAGACTATTGCGGTTGTAATTCTGGCTTTTAGGTCATCAATGCTCCACACGATCCCCCCTGTTAACATTGTCCTTTATAAATCTCCAAAGAAAAAAATCCAGCTGCGTTATATCAGGGGATCTGGGTGGCCAAGGAATTGGACCTCCTCGCCCAATCTATCTTCCTGTCTCATCAGTCGTCGGTCTCATCAGTCGTATGCTTAGACATGTTGGAAAACTTCGTATTTCCACAACTAGACGAGCTTCAGCCACATGTCTTTTTGCAACAAGATGGTGCACCACCTCATTAGGGTATCATCGTTCGTAGTTGAATGACCATTTTCCAGGAAGATGGATTGATATTCACCGTGCGACGAAGGGGGCACACGTGGAAGTTCATTGACAAGGGTCATGAAATTTTTTGAGTCTATCTAACCATTTGTGTTATTAATTTTAATCTATCTTTATTATTTTATGAGTTATTAAGCATCAAAATGGGTCCGGGACTTTATAAACACCCTGTATATTTGTGTGATAAGTCGGCTAGAAAATTTCTTGAGAGCTATACATTAGTTTTTTAGAACTACATATTTTTTACATATTATTTATTTTATTTTGAAATATTGTAAGTAATGTAATTTAGCTGCAATGTAATTTTTTTAGCAATTTGTGTTAAACGTTTAAAAACTTTAATCTTACAAAAGCAAAATTGCAGTTTTTTGTATTAGTCTCCTTCCAATCTCAGACTAATTCCCTGATCCACATTAATTCTATTAAAAAAAAACACTGGAGTTCAAACTGGTTTCAGATCTGGTTCAGATTTTCTGAAATACGACGATATTTGGTTTGAACAAAAAATAATCATTCAACAGTTTTAATTCATGCATATGACCACGCCTAGCATTCGCTGGAGTCAGAAGATATGAAACAATGGTTGAAGAATCTAACAACGAATCGGTTATAGTGAGTATGGCTTTCTCTTATGCATATACAGACTCACACAGTTATTTTAAATAGAGAAGTTACATACTGAAAATAAAGTTGTTCAGGAGATCCGTGTCCCAATTGTTCAGTCACTTCATTCTCATATCTTGGATGGATGTCAAATGGAAGGTGCGAGTTCCAATTGCCCTCACAGAGGCGTGTCAGACATAATATATGGAGTAGAGACCTGCCTATTCGTCTTTCAAAGACCTAGAAGGGTGAGAGGCCTTTCAACATGAAACCTGAGAAGACCACCAAATCTCCTCAAGTAGATTATTTGAATATTGGAGAAAAGATAACAAATTTCTCCATCTCTGTAGGAAAATATGAGCCAAACCAAGACCTACTATTTGCACACTCAAACAATGACCATCGAGCTTTGATGGTCTAGGACAACTACCTACGGAATGGCAGCACGCCTCTCCATTTGAAAACAGACACTTTAATTTGAGTAAAATATAGGGATTAGATCACGGAAACTTAGATTATATTTTCAGAAAGTACTTTTTTTATTTTACTGGGCGGTAAAACCCAGCTGCATAAAGCTCACGTGATCGATGATTTTTTGGAAAGTAAAGACAATCGTCGGATGAATTTGCCAGCCAGAACTTCAGACCTCAATTCTATTGAACATCTCTGGGGCATTTCGGGGAAGGTGATAGGAAATCGTAATCTTCCTACAACATCAATCTAGAGAACAGAGTTGCTAAATGATTGAGAACAATCACTTTATTTCAAACATAAAAACACTTTGTAAGTCTGCATATCTGTGAAATAGAATGATTTTTTTTAATTTACTAACCCTTAATTCCTAATTTTGTTAAAATCTATCTGGTAGTTCTAGAGACTAAAATCTATCTGGTAGTTCTAGACTAAATCCACAAAATCCTTTAATTTTAAACAACAATGAGTTATTTTTAATGTAGAGAAAGAAAAAAAGGTACAAATGCAGTTTTAAAGGCAGTATGACAAATAAAATTGAATCATATTAAACAAAATGAAATTTAAAATATAACAATAACATATAAATTTAAAATAAATATTAAAACTTTTCAATGAAATTTTAAAAGATTTCCACTTAATTAAATTAAAAGCAAGAATTCTGTATTAAGAACAAATTTTTATTTCTATGCTAACGTTAACTCAATGCCAGATAGACACAAATATAAAAGCTAAATTTAACAAAAATATTCGTATAGTATATTTTTCGAAAATATACTTGACAATATATAGGTATACAAAGATAAGTTATATCTCTACCTTTGGATACATTTGAGAGACTCTTTTGAACAATTTCGAGTACTCACTAGAAATTTGAATTTCTAGTCCCAGGAAAAAGAGAGATGGCTTAATTTTAACATCTCTTAACTTCAACACAAGAGTTCATTAATTTTAAAAAATTACGAACAGAGTTTTTTGTGGAAAGCCATAAATAATTTCTCAACACATAGTTTTTTACTACCCTCCATACTTTTACACAAAATATGCTTCAAATAAATTTTCGCATATTGATAACCAATCTAACTGTTGAACCTAAATTTTGAACACCCAATATCTTAAATTTTATTCTTAAACATTCATTAAGCAATGATCAATAGTTGAAAAAACAGCTGGCTAATAGATTAAAAACTTAAAAACACTGAATAATAATGATTTTATTTTATTTAATAAGCGTTGTTGAACAGCTGACCGAAATTTTCAGTTTGCGACTACTAATGTTCAATCCGTATTCCTGTAATTTTGAACCCCATTCAGAAGCAATGGATCTTTTGAATTGGGAGAAATTTGCTTTCATGGGTAATTTTTTGATGGAACTAACCCGCATTTGTGTTGCATGGAGAGGAAAACCACAGAAACCTCCCATGGTTAGCCTCTTGGCAAAGGGAACTCTAACCCATGATCAGTCTTTCACTGAAGATATTTTACGTCAACCCTGTGATCGGTGTGAGCCGGGTTTGAATTCGAATCGACCAGCCATTGCCGGGATTCGAACCCGGTTCACCTCAATGGGAGATGAGTGCTCTATCCCCTGAGCCGCCATGACTCGAATACTGATGCAAAAGGGCAAAGGGAATACTGATTAAAAAAAACTTTAGCACTTTCAAAAAATATATAAATAGGAAATAACAGTTGACATGTTTCAAGTAATCAAAGGAAAAAACAAGCGCCTATTTTCAAGACTTGCCAGATGTGAATGACAAGTCTTGAAGACAATGAATTCATGTCAGGCGCCGGTTTTTGAGCGCTTGGAACGTATCGACTGTTATTTCATATTTATATATTTTTCAAAGCAAATGAAGTTTTTTAATCAGGTAATATCTTATTTATTGTTGCTGTTGACGTATGCCTGTTTAGGCAGAGGGAATGCGATTGTTCTTGTTTTCCAGTGGCGCCATCTATGGCCAAGAATTATCTTATATATTCAACTGAATAATATAATTCTTTTTCTTATTTGTAACAGGATGAATCGCCTCAACCTTACATTTTCGGATATGAACTGAAGGATGAAAGTGGTGCTACTCAGAGTCGGAAAGAGCAAGGAGATGATTACGGTAACAAAAGAGGATCCTATGGTTACACAGATGGATATGGTATATATCGTGAAGTGGAATACGTAGCTGATGCCCATGGATTCCGAGCCATTGTGAAGACGAATGAGCCAGGCACAGAAAATCAAAACCCAGCTGATGTTGAAATACATTCCGAAGCAGCAAAATACTGAATATATTAAGAAGTGTATGTATTTTACTTGAACTATGATTGTTAAGTTTTGTTAGAGTTATATTTAGAAAAGTATTTAGAAATAATTGTCTATACAACGCAACATTTTAGATGAATGTTATATTGAATGAACAAGAACTTATTTTTAGAGTGAACTTTAAAATGTATTATTCCTCAGAATTCATTGCCATACGTTTTATTGATAATATTAATTTTCGTATAAAATATTTAAATAATACTTCTGTAATATAAATCAAATTTTTTCCTTAGTTTAAATTATGTATATAACAAATTAACTTATTTATTTTAAGCAGATTAAAATCTATATCTGAAGAAAATTAGAAATAATTTTAATTTTTTTTTTACTTGTAAACTGATTAAATAACACAAAGGAAGAAACACTTTCATAAGAAGAGCATTAGAAATGTTCGTTTTTACAGAAGTTTTTCAATGATTTTTTGCATTTGTTTGCAAATGATATTTGTACCGTATGTCAAAGACATTATTTTCATCTATTATTGTAAATACAAAGTTGATGTGCTGTATATTTATTTATAATTAAAAGAGTAGTATTTATAGATCACTCTAACAAATCTATCAAATAAAGATAAAACTAATTTATAAATTACTTTTCTAAATTAAACTTTTAAAATTGGAAAAGAATGAATGAAAAATCAACAAAAACTAAATAAATAAAAAATTTCTAAGCAAGGATTACTAAGACATAGAAAATTGATGATTAACTTCTGCTGCATTATTTCACTTTTTTAATTTTCATGCGTGCAATGTGCCAAAAACAATTGATATTAACTAACTTGCCTTCCACGTTAAAACTAGCAAAGCGAATTAAAATACAATTTACCATAAAACTTTTTAAATTATTATCATCCCTACTTAACATCATTACTACATTTAAATGAAATAAAGTGGCAATTTTTTCAAAGAAACGAAAATAATTTTTTTATCCAGGTTGTATTGTTAAATCTTTTGTTATTGAATTTATAGAATTATCATAATTCAAGCCATATTTACTTTTTTTCTTTGATTTTTTTCTCTCATTATTTATATTCATTGTTGTTTGCATAAATGTTTAAAAAAGTTGAATGAAAGAGAGTTTATTAATAACTTGTATTTACTTTATTTATTTTTATTTATTACCATTGAAATAAACATTTCTTTATGTGTGTGTGTTTACTGTGAATTATTTTCACACAAAATCTAAAATAATAATTGATGCACACTGTAAATATTTGTTTGCTAAATCTTTTGTAAGCATGGGATTTAAATTAGCATTAGTCACTTTATATTTTTTTTTAAAAATTTGTTTTAAATGGCCCTCTATGAATCTAAGTAAGTTAAAATTTTAATCTCAGATCTCAGTTAATCTCAGATTAGCAAAATATACTAGTTTTTTTAATAACATTCAAGACTTAATTACTCATTTTTTAATATCACTTAAGACTTCTTTTTTGTTGATAAAATTAAAAGACGTTTACCTTGACATTACCTTATTTTATTTTTTATCTTATATTTGCCGATGTAATCAATTTTAAATTGATCATTTTAGGTAGTAAACTAAGAAAACAAAATTAGAGAACAATAACTCGAAAAGACCTTACTTTTATTAAAATGAAAATTCTGTGAAAAATTAGTTTATTTAAGAAAAAAAAATTATAAAACAGATTCGTTATTCACTACATAAATCAAAATACAAATACCTGTTAAGGCAAATTTAATTTCATTTAAAACTATCAAATGGATATCATTCAGAAACAATGCAATTTGAATAATTTACTTATTTTAAAAAATTCAAAAAAGCACAATAACATTTTGGCACAGTTACTACACCGGTGTGCATTTCTATATTTTTCTGATGCTCTAATTACAAGTAAAAATATATTTTGATGCTTTTTTAATTATAAAAATCAGCCTAATAATTACTAAAAACAACCTGTTAGATTATCAAATTATATTCGTACTAAAATATAAAATCCATAAAAGTAATTTGAATTTTTATTTCCTTCATATTCAAAAATTTATCAGTAATTGGCTTTGTAAATTAAAAAAATTTTAATAATAAATAATTGTTTCTCTTAGATCTAAATAGCTGCAAATAAGTGCACATTTTGAAAAACTGTTGCTTAGAAGTTAGCCGCATTTGGTTTGGTTATGGATTTTACCTTTAACGCAGAAAAAGATAACGGCGTTTCATGCTGTATTTCATAATAATAAATTATTAAAATGCTAGATATAATATTTTTAACTTATTTTGACCTAAAAAAATACAACATAATGAAAAAGTTTGGAAAATATATTCAATAAAAATATCTGCGTAAAACGGCTTAAACTTAAAAGTGAGACTCTTATTCATTCTGTATTTTCAGAACTTAACCGCCATTTGAAATTAAATAAAGTTTATGAATGTACCGAAGATAATTATTCCGTTAAGAATGTTAAAACTTTAAATATTTCCTTAATGCTTGTCTATAGCAACCACAAAAATTTCGGAACAACTTATATGCTTTAGATTTTGCACATCGTCTGATAGTTTAAATGTCTTTTGTTAATGAAATCTAAACGAGAAAAAATTATTTGTCAAGCTCTCAAAATCAGGATCAATTTTAGAATTCCATACACACAAGCAGCAGATCAACGAACTATTCATATTTGCTACTAGAAATAGGACTATTTTTAAGTCCCTTTATAAAGTATTCTATTACAGAAGAGAACATTTTCGAGAACAACCATTATCAACGTCATAAATTTAAATAATCTTGCAAGTACATTCTTTCATGCTTTTAAGAATGACATAACAGTTCAACGAAAGTCATTAAAAGTAGGATTTTTTTACTGTGAGTACCACAGCAAAAAATTCAAGAAATCTGACCGGCCACATATCAGACAGATAATATTTCTAAGAAATATATTAGCAGGAGGGAGACAGCAGTTTAATTTTAGCACAAATTATATAGTCTTATAAATTGTGAAACGTCGATAATTTTAAAAAATCGAAGTTAGAGTTTATTCATTTCTTTTCTTGCATTTTACTTGCAGTTTGAAACAAAAAAAGTTTGATATCACTGAAATACTATACTGAGAAAAAAGTATGGTCAAAAGTATCAGAATATGGTAAAATTCACCATGTTTTTGACACTTCGGCAGTGTTTCCCAAACTTATGACTTTTGTGTACTCTTTCTAAATTTTTCGTAATGCTGTGTACCACTAATAAAATGATAAATGTATTTTTACTATAAAAAATTTCACAAAAGTTAAAAATCACTACTGGCTGTTGACACCACTAATTATTAACTGTTAACTCTGCAAAAAAAAGCCAATAGAAAAATACGTAATCGTAAATGTTCATGGCTAGCTTTGTTTTCAAATAAAAATTTTTGAAATTTTTTTTTGTTTCAAGATATTTCCCATAACAAAGCGTACCCCAGCTAAACTATTCCCTTACCCCTGGGGGTACGCGTACCACATTGTGGGAAGCATTGCTCTACGGGAACACCTAAAAAAGCTAGGAAATATTTACCAAAAAGCTTTGATAATGGTTTTATTAACAAGAAAATAGGGTTTTATATTGCGTGATGAAATTTGGTAAATGTGGTATCATTTGATAATTTCATCATAATACTTAAGAGCATGGCTTATAGACCATTTATTCGGTTAAATTTACTTCTCAATTTTGTATATTTTAATAAATGTGGGGTGATAAAAACTATAATTTCGAAAATCAGAATTTCTGTTAAACCGTTACTATATGAATGGAAAAATTATCAAATGAGTGGTTAAAATACCGCATATTTTCATGTGTTTTACCATAAGTGGGGATTTTTTCATCATAAATGTAAAGATGTAAATGCTTACCATAAATTTAAAATGTACCATGCAGTACGCTATAATTTTACCAGAACTTTTTTTTCTCAGTGTAAATCTATCCTCAGTAGTAGTACAGTTTAAAATAAATTACTTGCATTACAAAATAGGTCAGCTCCCATATAAACAACAAAAAAAACGTTCATTACTGAAATAACTAGGAGACAGATATAAATTGTTCTAAAAGTTGTAGAGTTAACCCAAAATAAATATCTGAAGTTCTCCCTCTTCCCCGAAGTGTGGCTTGGTCTCTAAGTTGAATTTATTGCGGAGGAGAGAATCTCAAAATGCGAAAAAACTAAAATTTCACTATATAAACAAATGAGGTATTATTTCCTACGCATTTTTTAAGCTTAATCTGATGGCACTAGAAGTAGATTAAACTATTTTTTTAAAAATTACAAGGGATTTAATACATAGAAGTGTACATAGTACATAGAAGCATTCGATTCAGCATACAAAGATACAATTTTTGATTATGCCTTCTGACGCGTCTGAAGTAACTATTTAGACTAATAAGGTACTGTACTGTGTATAATTTTTACGCTGAATCTAATTAAATCAAAACAAAGTTGAAAGCACTAACAGTTTAAAGGTTATTCAAGTTTTTATTCATAAAAAGCACACATTTGTATGTCTCCCTATCTGAACCTCAAGCATTGCTTTATTGACAAGCAATGTATTGGATGCTATATATTAGAGAAACTGAATCCAAGTGGATAGGGCTAATAATTAATACAATAGTTCTACCAATGTAAACTATTAGGAAAACTTTCTAGAAAAGTTAGAAATTCTTTCCTTTTTATCTTTATGTTTATATTTACGTTAAATTGAGTAAAATATAGAACTAATAGGTTTTAAATTATAAGAGTTTCATACGTAAAAAAAATAAATTAAAAAACAAATGTTTTGCGCTTGAAACTCTCAGAACTCCTGAATTATTAGTCCTATCTGATTACTTTTTATTTCATTCGATACGGGATAAAAAATTACACAGGATACAATACTTTAAATATGTATTGTATACTGCTATATAGGAAGTGCAAATATGCATAAATACAAAAATTTACTTTTATACATAAAAACTTTAATAACTTTTGAGCTATAAACTTAATAGCCTTCAGTTAAATTTCATTTGACTCAGCGTAAAGAAATGCATAAGAAATACTACCTCATTTGTCAGACGTTAAAAAGGATAATAAAAATAAACTTCTTAATACTTGATACATATAGGGTGCACATAAATAAACGTGAAGTGTTAAAAGCTCGATAACACGTGATATTCTATCGAAACGTTAAAAAAAATTGACGCACGCACTCAGCAAAGTATGGGATTGTAATTTTAAAAAAAGTAGTTTCAAAAGTTGCCCATAGGAGAAAATTTGTCAATTTGAGTATAATACGTGCAATAAATAAATAATTGTCAATTGAAGCAGCTATTTACTTTTTTATAATTGTTCGGTCGTACTTGGAACTTTCGTTATATTTCTAATATCATAACAGCTCCCTCTACTGAGAAACTCTTTAATTAGTCAATAGAAACTCAATTCTCCTGCTAGCCAGTCGTTGCTGCAAGAATCTTGATGGATCTTGCTATGGTGTAAGCTATCTGTAAAATGTAGGTAGATTATTAATTAAAAATTTCATATCCATTACATTTGCTGTTAATTTGCCTTTGAATACCAGTGACCTTGGATTCGCAAAACAATAATTATAAACAGTATTTATTTATAATTTACAAATAAGGTTCAATGTCAGCACACTTTTGATGTTCTAGTAATTGCATGCGATATACGACATTTTCAACAAAAGCTCGTAGCATATTGCTTATTCCTCTGACGTAGAAAGTAGATCTGTCTTTTAAAATTGAGATGTCAGGCACAGGTCCTTCAAAATGTATGCATTTCAAGTATCTCCTACATTAAGCTTCTTTTATAACAGGGCTGTTCAACTGGCGGCCCGCCAACTTCTTATTCTGGCTGATCGGCCTCAGTTTTCCCATTAAAATGCAAGCAAATTGTTTTATAATCCTTCTGTTCCATTGTTTTATAATTCATAATTCAACTATTAATTGTTATTGTATAAGAGGTAAGAGGTTATTGTTCAACTTTTTCAAACTGTGGCCCGTCAGGTGATCAGTGACCGGAATTCTGGCCCGTGGGCTCTTTGCAGTTGGACAGCCCTGTCTTATACTGAAGTGTCCAAATTTCATGCTTTGTTCTTGTCGAGAGCGCCAAGTTTTTCCCTAGGCAATTTTTAGAATTATTTTAATTTATAGAATTTAAAAGTTTATACTACTTTGAGTATGT